CCTGCATCTTTTTTGTGCAGACGTGCCCTCTCCGAAATTTTACATTCCGACTGTTATAATTTTGAAACTTGCCATGACATCCAAGAGAGTTGTAATAGTTCAGATGACTAAGGTTTATTAATTACCTCCTTTTATAATTCCAACTAAGCTCCCCTCAGCACTACGTGAACCGTATTTAATTGACCTTAAAAGGATTTCACTCTGAAAAGTACCATTTCAATTTATTTTTTCCACTTGGGTTACTTATTAACCCTGGAGACTTGTGAATGCACGGTAGGCAACCACTTAATTAAAGGAACAAGTTGATCATGTCGCCGTGTGTTTTAAAGTACTAACGAAATTCAAATCAGAATTTGAGTAGTCTCTTTAAAATACAAATTAATTTACATAATGGAATTGTGACGTCATCATCTAATCTCCATTGCCTCAAAATGATTATGTGCAAAAAGTGCTCAACCAATGACTTGCCAATTTAATTAACATAAGTTGAATTTGGTCTCAATTTACATGTTGAAATGCTTGTCCTTTGTTCTTTTAAGATCCATTCCGCCAATTCCCTTAGATAGATTCCATTGATTTGCATAAATTGCTTAACTGTGAAAAAATATGTTCCAACTATGACCTTCAATTACAAGTTATATAATGCCACATAGTTACTCATTGGAACCGGAATATTAACTCTCACATAGTTATAAAGGTAGAATCCATCAAAGTTACCAAACTTCTAGATTATTATGGTTCCTCCCCCGCCCCTCCCGAGGGGGGAAGGCAGGTTGGAGATCAATAGGTTCATGGACGTTGAAGGTTGACGGAGTGTGCAGTCCATAGTCCATTGGAAAAAGGTAAACGAAAGGGGAAAGATTAAATGATGAGATCGCTATGGAGCGCTGGGTTCATAACAAGATTCGGTGCTTAAAATTTAATGGAGCGTTTACAGTCTTCTGGAAACCCTTCACCTTTATTGAGGTCAATGCATACTCTTCGAACAAGAGGTGTGTACTGGTTAATATGAACGCCAAAGAACTTCGTAATATCGTTCATAGCTCGTTGTTACTTAAAGAACTTGTGGTCTTCAAGACCTCAAAATCTAGTCCAGTCCAGTGATGTGAACGAGACGTTTATGCAGCTACTCTAACAATCCGGAGAAAGATGTTTTGAAGAGCGATTTATCTCTTGACATCTTGGAGTGTGTGATAGACTTACCTCCGCATGGAGCTCCCTGGGCAACGTATACTCATACGGCAATAAAGTCTATAAACCGACAGTTGACTTCAAACTACCACGACCCCACTGAATGTCATATTAACCCACCACTTCCGCAGTACTCACATCACCTTGCCTTTTTCCCTCGTTTTGTGACTAGGTTGTTCTCCTCTTCTGTGAAGCTCGAAGTCAACTAAAGGGTTAATAATAAGTATCAAAAGCCTGCCATTTGGTATTAATAAATCTCTTAACATCATACATTTATAATTTCAATAAAAATTCCATGCATGTTTGTAGACTTGGCATCCATTTAGTAAATCCGTCATCTATGAAAAAAGACAATTACACTATCGCGTAAATTCAGTTTAACTTACATGACCACTACAACAGGTGTGAAAACCACATATGAATTGCTATCGCGAAATGAGATCATTTTTTTCATAGTTTTAAAATTACAAAACACTTGAGAATTAGTGTTTGGCAAAGCAGCATTTAAGTAGTCCATGAAAGGGTTAAACAACTTTTTACCCTTAAAAATTGAAACATAAAGAAAAAATAGCTTAATTTACTACACCATTTCCAGTGTCTACGACCGGATCCCATCAACTTAACCATGACCTCATCAAATTCAATACCACACATCATCATAGAAGGTATTCAATTTAAAACGGATGATAGCAGGTACGTGATGTGCGATAGATTTACCTCCTCTAGACGCACCCTGGGCAACCTATACTCATACGGTTAGAATGTCTATTAACAGACAGTTCTCTTCTGACTTCAAACTACCATGACCCCAACGCATGTCATATACGACCCCTCATCTCACCCTACTCTCGACCTTTGTGTCTGTCTGTCTCT